GCATAGTGGGGGTTTGTTAATTTTCATTGTTTAATAGTATTCCTCATGTGGCTATTTAATTATCCACTCAATTGATGAGAATTTGAGTTGTCTCCAGTCTTAGGTAGTGCATCCATGAACATTCTTGTACCTGTCTTTTGATAAGTATGTGGAGATATATATATTTGGTGTATATTTAGGAGAAGAATTTCTGGGGGATAGGGTATGTGTATAACTGGCTTTAGTAGATACTGCCAACGTTCTCCAAAATGGTTGTACCAATTTACCTCCCATTTGTCATGCATGAGTTCCAGTTTTGTTTTGTTTTGAATGTTTATTTTTGAGAGAGAGAGAGAGAATATGCAAGCTGAGGAGGGGCAGAGAGAGAGGGAGACACAGAATCTGAAGCAGGCTCCAGGCTGTGAGCTGTCAGCACAGAGCCTGACACAGGGCTCAAACTCACGTACGATGAGATCCTGACCTGAGCTGAAGTAGGACGCATAACCAACTGAGCAACCCAGGCACTCTAAGAAGTCTACTCTTTGCCCAAACCCAGGATCGAACTAGGGACCTTTAGACTCTTTTTCTTATTCATTATTATCTACAACCTGTTTTGGTGTCAAAAGAAAACTACCAAAGCCTCCCTGTCACTAACATTTTCTCTGATATCTGGCTGGGGCCATTCCTTCCACGTCATTTAGAAAGAGATGTGGAGAATCCAAATGGGACTGTGTGCACTCAAGGGTCTTTGAAACTGCAAAAGGCTGTTAAAGGCATGATTATCATCATTGGAAGGATTCTTGCAGAAGCTAGCATCTTTTTCGGGATTGGATGTTCTAGAAAGGACGCTTACATGAGGTGAGAAGAGGGTCCACATGGAGGGTGTCAGTCTTTCTGATTCATTCCATTTAAGTTCCCAGGATACTTTATACAGGGCCCTCCTCCCCCATTCTACTGCCATAATTATTTATCTACTCATTTGTCTCTTGTCCTAGACCTGCATTTGGCAGACTCTTCATTCGTTCTGTTGGGGTCGGGGAGGGATACAAACAGGCTTTGGCCCAAGGTAGCTCTTAGGGAAACCAGCCTCGGATAGGACATCTCCTTCTGCCTACGCCTCATGGCTTCCTCTACTTTCTTCATAACAGCTTAATTCGTGATTACATATTTGTGTGATTATTTGATATTTTACATTCTCCTCTAGCCTATAAACTCCTTAAAACAGAGATCCTGTCCCTTTTATCCACTATCCCACCTTACGTGTTTACTAGTGCTCAGTACACTGTAGGGAATTGATACTAGTCAACAAATAATTGAAATGGGTTGGATCTGAATCCCAGAGGTGCCCCATACTATGGCATGGCTCCATCTTCCCTTAAGTCTCCAGGAAATGGGGTTATTTCTTCTTGAGACCAGTTGAGTCTGTCAAGTGCTACTGGAAAGGTGTGATGGAAAGACTAGAGGATTAGCAGTACAGGGGTTTGGTCTCCTGGTCCCCCCTCCTCTAATTTGCCTTCTCCCCCCCACAAGTTGTTTTGTCTGTCTGGACCTTTGTTCCTCTGGATTTGAAGGGAAAATCTGGACTCTGACCTTGAGGGTCTCCCTAGCTGCATACTGGGGCCCAAAGGTACATTTCTGCCTGCAGGAAAATGCTGAGAAAGTGCTGAGCTAGTGTCAGGGCCTGAGCAGGCTTATCTAGAAGTGAAGAGCAGACTGATTGGGGGGGGGGGGGGGGGGGGGGGGCTTTATTCCCCCATGCCCTGAAACCAAATGAAGTTTTGCCTCCTTGGATTTTCAAAGTGCTTGGAATCCACGGCTTTTTTCCTCCCATTTTCTCTTTTGAACAGGAATGTGTGTAACTGTTATTCTACGCCTGTCCCATCGCTGAATTTGGGGGAGCAGCTGACTTGTGTTATGCATTCACAGTTGGAGAGCAATTATGCCTCAGGATGGACTAAACCCAGAACCCCATCCTTACCTGACTTCGATGATTTAGTTTAGATGATGAGATTTGAGACTCTGGAGTCAAGATTTAGATAAGACTTCGGATTTGAGTTGATGCTGTAATGGGTTGAGACTTTGGGGGAGGTTGGGATCTGGTGAATCTATTTTGCATATGGGCTGGATGTGAATCTTTGAGGCCTAGAGGGTGAACTGTGGTGGGCAGCCTGACCACCCTGCAAGACGTCTGTGTGCTAATCCCTGGGTTCTATGCATATGCTCTGTGACATGGCAAAGGGGAATTAAGGTAGCAGATGGAATGAAGGTTGCTAATCAGCTGACCTTAACACAGGTAGAGCATCCTGGGTAAGAGAGGTGGGTCCATCTAATCAGCAGGGCCCTAAATGTGGAAGACGTGGCAGAAGTAGAGACCCAGAGACCGCAGAATGGAAAGGACCTGGTCCAGTACTGCTGGCTTTGCAGATGGAGAAAGAGGGCCACAAACCAAGGGATGCAGATGGCCTCTAGAAGCTGGACAAGACCAGGAAACAGCTTCTTCCCCAGAGCCTCCAAAACTGTCAGCAAATCTGTGCCGCTTTAAGCTACTGTGTTCCTGGTAACTTGTTTACAGCAGCAATAGGCAACGGACACAAGTCTTGGCCGGCAATTTACTCTTCCAGGATCTCAGGTCGTTCCATCTTTGGGCTCCTTCGCATTCCTCAGTTCTCAAAGTAACTGCCAGAAGGATCAGCAGTGACAAACAGGCAGACGTGCCTGGCACACAGGTGCTCAACGGGTGTGACATGTACCAGCTCCCCCTCTTCTTCCAGGCTGGGGAGACACCGGGAGAGAAAGCAAGGGCCAAGTGCCATTCTCTGGGGAGCGCCCTCCACCCTCCTTCTTTTGATACGTAAAGAGCTCCCTTGGGAGCTCCCCGAAGCACACCTTATCAGGAGCCCTGCTTCTTATCTGCCTTTGGGGGACCCACTAGCTCCTCCCTCCTTGACAAACCCCTTTCGAATACAGAAGCTCTTTAGAGCCTGAGACAGAGCAGAGCCAGAGTCTGGCTGGGCAAACAGGCTTTCAGAGATGAAAGAGCAGCTGAGGCAGCTACGGCCACCATATTTCCCACTGGAAGGATCAGGAAGTGGTGCCCCGAGGTGAAGCCAGCCCATTGAAAGAGCTCAGATGGCCTGCGAGCCCCCTCCCTCCTGCCACACACCCGAGACAAACACCCCTCACACATTTCAGGATTCCAGCCCCTTCATTAGTTGGGTTATGAGCTTTTATTTAAAAAGCACATTTAATACAAGTGTAGTTTCGCAGATACAAGTTTTCACTTTGTATTCTACAAAAGTCTTTGAATATTATTCTCTTTACAAAATGGAACCTTACAAAAATACTGACACTTTAATGTTTTTATACAGTTTTCTCTAGTTGCAGTTATTTCTTTCATTGTAAAACAATGTCTACCACAGAACTACGATATTTTATTTGATATTAAAAAAAAAAAAATTAACTCCATGCTTTTTTAAGCAGCTAATGTAAATAACACAGGTCGAGACAGTTTATAATCATAGTGGATGTAGCTAAAATTGTTTCAGAAATAATATCTTACATAGTTAACTTTTAATGTTTTATACATTATTTATATAATATTTATATATAAAAATCATAGCTTGCTAGAAGTGGAAATGAAAAGGACGGCTTCTGGAGTAAGGATGTACATGTGCTTGATCCATGTGGTTACATTTAGCCCTTTGCAAGGTTTGCACCCGCGATCTGAAAGCATTTCTTCCTTCCTCCTTTCCTCGAAGGTTCAGTAGAAAGGATCCCTGTCTACTGCCCCGCGTGGGACCTTGCTTGGAAGGACACTTACGGAGAGAGGATGAGGAAAAACTCTACGGAGATTTAACCCATGTGTTCTGCCCAGCAGAACCTACCGAGAACTGCCCTAGAGATCAACCCCAAGACAATAGTGCTTTACACAGCTTCGCAAGAGCAGCCCCCGCAGAGACGCTCGTCCGTTCCGAGATCTGGAAGGGCCGCCTCTCAGGCACGAGACCATCTGCTGCTCTGGCTCATTCTGACTCTGAGTAGCCAAAAGGTTGGTGAGTTTTTCATTCTTGCCCATTCGCTCCCACGTCTCTTGTACGTAAGGCTGCTTCCCGTCAGCCGACGGCAGAGCATGCCTTTGCTGGTGTCGGGACCCTCCCGGAGACCCCGGGGGGCACACAGCAAGGACTTCCAGGGAGAAAGCAGTGACCGAAGCTAACTGTTACCAAGAGTGTGAAGGTGCCGAGTGACTCGTGAACACAACAGGGGCATCCCGCTGCTGACGTCCCGCATCACCCAATGATGCGGACAGAGAAGACAAAGGAGGGCCAGCACCCTCGATCGCTTTTGAAATTGTGCTATTTGTGAAACTCACTCATCCACAAAGAGTCTCCTAATCGCTAAAGTGAGGGGCTGTGGCTGCTGGCCTGGGGGCCGGGGGAGGGAGGGAGAAAGGCCTCAGGACTGGGAATCCAGATTCGGGATCGCGTGGCCTGACTTAGCACACCTGCTCTGCCCTTATATTGAACAAAACAAAACCAACCTTCCCGAACCAAAGTCACAGCACAGATCAGAGTGGTGTGGCCAGAGAGACACGAGACAGGAGCCCGCCCAATGGCTGTTTTCTTGATTCAGTGCTACTTCTGGCATTGTGTGCTACAATGTGAATTTGATCTTTTCTCACAGGCCTGGGGTTCCTCGGGTCACAAGCGTGACTGGCAGACCCTACTCAAATCATTTTAGTGTCTGTTCCAGAACAAGCCCGTGTTCACTAGAACATGAACACTTAGACCAATTGCACATCCAGGATTTCGGCACTTGGTGTTAGTTTGCTGTTGTTTCCACATAGGTGAATGCTACCTATTTTGGAAGGCCACAAAATAAGACTTTTTTTTTTTTTTCCTTTTTAAAATCAGTTGGGCAAAAAGTTTTTCCCTACATTCTACTGTCTGATGAGATTGGAGAGCAGCAAGAGCTTGCTGTCAGCAGTCATTTTATAAAACAGCTCAGGAGGTGGGCAGCACCTACACCATGTTGTGGTGATTGTTCCTGTCAATAATGTCCACAGGCGAAAGGATTTCCTTCCGGAGAGCAGGGGGAGGCAGGGAGAGTGTCGTCTTGGTCTTGAAGAGGTCGGACACAAAGAAAACCTAGAAGCACAAAATCAGACATCGAAATTAATAACTGACATCTGGGGCCTGGGGACAGGCAAAGGGAAGGTCATAGAAGCACAGACTTTGGGAAAAAGGGACCCCCAGACCATAGATCTTTGACTAGGGAAGGATCCTACGGAGATTATATATATACACCAACTTGTGTTATACAGGTAGGGAAACTGAAGCCCAGAGAAGCACAGTGACATGTCCCAGGATGCACAGCCATGGCGGGAGTAGAATTCTGTTCTCTGGACTCTCAGTCCAGTGCTTCCTACCAAAAATGCTACTTCCCTATTTCTCAAGGAAAATGAACAGCAGTGAAAAATAAATTCCTACATGAGGAAGCAAGTCATAATTAGTCATGCTCATTAATCTACGATACTTTCCCTTTCCTCACAAAGAAATCTAGGGTGTAACCACAAGAGATCAGCCAACATGAATTCCTATCAGCAGGAGTGGAGAAGGAAGCCGTTGTGACCACGTTTTCCTGAAAGTCCGGATCTCAACAATTTGATGGGGGTGCAGAAGCCAGGGTTTTGTGGCTGAGGGAGTCAGCAGCTAACCCGGAGGAGAGGTCAATGCAATCTCCTATCGCTCCTTCCCAAAGTCCTTCCCATTTGTGAGCACAAGACCCCACCCGGTCTTAACAATCCCTGAGGAACATTTACCACTTGCAAAGGTACGGGGACGGCTGAGGCATAGCTCCCGTCCCAATTAGCTTACGAGGACAGATTCAAGAGCCTGATGAGTTAGTGGAGTAAGAAAAATTTATGCTTTGTATTACAAGGCAAAATAAATACACAGACATCCACTTGAGCCATTCAGCAATAGGAGTTTGTATTGCGTAACCATAAGAGGCGGCTATCAGTCATGTCATTTAATAGGAAACACAGGGCAGATTTTTGAAATGGAGACTAGAGCACCTCCAAATTCCCTATGCCTAGCCAACTTTCTGGATTGGAAAGTCCTTGTCCTGCCATGGGTCATGCGCTCACTAACAATGATGGCACTGTGACTTCGTTCTGGACACAGTAGAGGCTAAAAAGTTACTTTTCAAATTTTTTTGAGAGAGAGAGTATGAGCTGGGGAGAGGGGCAGAGGGAGAGAGAGAGAATCCCAAGCAAGCATGCTCAGTGCGGAGCCAGATGTGGGGCTCGATACCCTGATCCTTGGATCATGCATCAAGGGTCCATGGATCACC